ACAGCTGCTGCTTAATTAGGTAAATAAAAATCAGAGCCTCAGGAAAGATGTGTGAATAAAGTAGAGAACCTCAAAAGCTTCTCTAGCAGATAACGTATGTACTTGTACAAATCCTTCTTTACATATGTATCCAATTAAGATTCAGTACAAGTTACAAATAAGCATTAAAACTGCTATACCACATTAGCAATATGAATCCTAAAGTCTTGTTTCCTATGAAAAAATTTAATGCTATATAGAGTATTTCTACTGAAGTGTACTTTATTTAATGATGTCACTAATATATATATATATACTTTTTTATTTTTCTAGGGAAACTGAAAATGTTGCTTTATACAAAAAGTACCTTAAGTTTGAATGCCCTGCAGCCTCCTGCAGAGTTAAGGTAGGGAATTCAATGGAATTGTTTTATTTTTCTTTGACGTTTTAATTCCTTAATTGTCTGAATTACATTGCTCTTGGTCATGTTATTGTTTTTATACACTCATATAATCACTTATAACTCTTGATAGCAGAGTTCTTTTACATTTGTATCACTTTTCTTTTTATGAAGACTTAATATTTATATGAGAGATAATCTTAGAGGAAAAAACCTTCATAAACCAAATAAACTGCAGATCATCAACAGTTGCTATGTAATAAGAGCTATTAACTTTGACATGGTTAGATAACCTTATGAAAACCTGTAGGACCACTGTTCTTAAGTGCCTAGAAGATCAAGGCCTGATTTATATTCAGGTTATGCAGGCATATCTGTTCCAGTAACAGCAAAGAGAAATCAGCTTAATTTCCACGGAAAAATTGTTCATCATTGTATTTCTCAGGACTCAAGGTTAATAATGCATTGTCCCATACGTACAGAGGAAACTCGAAGCTGTTTGTTTCCTAACCAAAGTATTGTATTTTTTTTCCTTCTTGCAATAGCTGCTCTCCATTGGTGAGAAACAAAGAGTACTTATCAGTAAAATAATTGTACAAGTGAAAACAGCGTCTGCAAAACTAGCAACGGATTTTCCTTCACTAGGCTCAAGCATAGATCTAGACAGAGTGCAAACTATAATGGAATCGATGGGGTCTAAGTTGTCTCCAGGTGCTCAGCAACTCATGGACATGGTCCGATGTCAGCAGAAAGTAAGTCAATGTCCTTTTGCATAAACATATATAGTATTCGTCTGTGACTTCTTTTTTACCCACACTTTCTGCCATTTTAATCCTAGTGTAGCTATTGCTGCTGTTAAATGACTGCAGTGAATAAAGGCTGTGCACTTCAGTAGTCACTGTGTGTGCACCGAGTCCAGAATTAAGAATTCTGTATTGTGATAATTTTAAACCTCACTGCCACCCTGTTCTCCTTTTGTTTGTTTCCATTGCCACTGCTTGTCAAGAGTGGTGGGCATGTTCCCTGGAATATTTGGGGTGTACGTAGATGGACTGGTTTGTCTCTTTTATTATTAAAAGCATGTCACCTTCAACAAAAGGAATGTTCTCTTACAGAGCACTTGTTTGATTTTTGGTAATGGTCCTACCAGTTAGGCTAATTCAACAGAATCCTGAATCTATCTGATGTTAATAACATTCAGTCTTGGAGTCATAGTGTGGTAAAAATGAAGTTGGTGAAACTGTTTTGTTACTTAGAGACTACAAGATAATGTGTCTGCGGGGAAAAGCTTTTCCCCAAGAGTAGTAATTCAGAACTACTTCTAAAACCTGTTTAGCTCAAACCAGGACACCATCGCACTAACAGAATGCCGAATTACACAGTATCTATTATTGTTATTTTATAATTTCAAGTATATTTTAGTACTTAAATATTAACTGTATTGTTCTTCTTCCCATCAGAACAGTTTTCCTCTTGGAGACAAACTTAATTGGATCTTTGGGAAAAATTCAGACTTTGGAGGTGGCCGTGCAATAGATGGATTATGCAGTGCAGCTATTCAGACACCACTGGATCGATCAGCCAGTGAACCTTCGTCTGTTAAAAATTATTTAACAAGTGAAACAGTATATGATGACTTAGAAATAAGTCATGATCTGAACACACAGGTACCTGAAAGAGGGGATACTTTTGATTCTGAAAGACTTACTACCCAACAAAATACAGTTGACCTCAGAAAGTATTTTCAAGTCGTGGGATCTTTGCATATGCAGGAACAAGTGAGCGAAACCCCAAATGTAGCTAATCCACAGGTGCTTCTTCCTTTTCTTCAGAATTTATGTAGTCAGGTAAATCATCTTCGACTGAAAGATGGCAATAGACGTTTTGGTAAAAATCCGGTAACTAAAGAGGAAGGCGTTCAGTGTGTTGGGTAAGTTAAGTTTGGTATGCTTATCAGTTTGACTATTGGCAGGTTTTAAAAAATAAAATAGGTAATGTAAGCATTTTATTCTCATTAACAGCAATGTGAATCTCAAAGTAAATGGTTTTGAAGGCTGTGTGGCAATAAATGTGATTACAGTTTTTCAGATGAGCTGCTTGTATATAGGAGTTCTTTTCAGAAATCACATCATTTGTTGTTACTAAAATGTTTGTGTCTTGCCTCCATTTCACCTTTTATGGTTTTAAAAAACCCAAACTTTGAAATTGTAGTATTTCTGCAATTTTCTATACATTCAGTTTCTATACATTTAGTAATGGTGGTGGTGGTGCACCCAGTTTGATACCTAAGGAAGAGTAGTGGAAATGGTGAGATGTAGGACGTTGTGTAGGAATTGAGGTTCTGCTAGAGCCTGGATATATCCATCTTCCGAGAAGGTGCAATATTTTTAAAGAGTGCAGATGTGAAAATAAAGAATTATGTAGTTTGAATAATTCTTGAAACACTTGAGCTGAGAAGAATGAAGTCTGCCATACTGACAGAATTTGAACTGTATGTGTGCTATTGAGTTGTGTGGATTTTGTTGTACGTAACTAAACCATCTAATGCATAATTGAGCCATTGAAAAACTCAGATTGAAGGACCAAGGCTATATATGCTAGTATGCCTATAAAAAATCATCTGAGATGTAAAATGTGTCAGGTAGGCAAGGTGTTTTACTTGTGCTAAAAATCTAATGTCTTCCAAAGTTTATTGTCTAATGAGATTTTACATTTAGAGGAAATTCAAGTGCCCAGATCTGTTGTGTTCCTTGTCATGAAGAAATAGATTATACTTACTCCTGCATTTGTTCTTTTCACAGACTAGAACAGCAGCCTATTTGCTCTTATTTGGAAAAGATAATCTCGAAAAATATGGATCTAATGGAGAAAAAGCTAATGGACTATATTGATCGCCAAATCCAGACTCTTCAGACACATATAGATAATAAAATGGTTCTCTTAATGGACTTGGTTCAGAACTCAAAGCCAAACAAAATTTCACGAGCACACTATGATTCTAATGAAGGGCTCTCTAATGGAGAGCGGTAGATGTGTATAGATACGGGACTGCAGTGTGAGTACTTTAAGGGCAATTACACTCTGCAAAGCTTAGTATTTATAGAGTTATAACTGTAAAGATCCTCAGTGTTATTGACTTGCATTTTGGTACTGTAATCCTATCCACTGTTGTACACAGTTGTTAGTTTTATGGGAGATATTAAGAATATGTGTTTTTTCCTAAATACAACAATTTTATACACCCTTTTGTTGCTTATTTATTTAAAGAGCATTGCTAAACCCCTTATGAAACAGTTTCCTGGTTTCAATTTGAACAGTGGAGAAGTACTCTAAATAAAACGAGTTACAGTTTGTCTTTTTACCTATATGTGATCGGTTCACTTTGTCGTGGCTTCTGATGTGTAATGTGTTACCAGTAGAAGAGAATGTAGTTTCTTTGTGCTTTTGCTTTATTTTAATGGCAATCCTGTTGAAGATGCCTGTTACTCCGTTTGTAAGAGGAAGGTTAGCATGAGCATTGCCGGGCTTAGACTGTTTAAGGAGTTAGGTTCAGAGAGATGGGCTAACTTTGAAATGCCAGCGTTGCTGGCTGTGCAAGCACCTAAGTTAGGAACCTTAGTTCCTTGAGCGATATCTAAAACTAAACTGTCATTATACTTTTTCCCTTCTAAATTAATTGAGCCATGCAGGAGCAACTGAAATGAATTTTGTGCTTGGGAGACTTGTGTTTATCCATGTTCCGTTATCCTAAGAAATGTAAGTACTTTGTTTGTGGTTCCTCTCAAGGGGACGTTGTTGCCAGCTAGAATGTGCTGGGGTAGGTCGGATCTGCTGCGTTTTGCCAACCTTAGGCCAGAGAGGGAGCCTTATTTACTTTCACCCGTTGGGATCGGTTCTGCTGTCACTTGGGGAGCTGGAAATGTAACTCAGAGTCCCTCTCTTATGGAAGGTCAAGCGTCATACTTCATTCTATTTATTACTCTTTGAAGTCTGGGATACAACATTTGGACTCTGTGGACTTAGAGGCAAACTCCTAAGTTGAGTGCACAGATGTGGGTTGTTTTCAGGGTCTTAAAGTACACTGAGCAGAAGCTGTTGACAGAAAAGCAAGTGTTTACTCAGCAAGCAGCACAGTCCGGTGTCTTTTTCTAGTCTGCGTAATGTGTTCTTCTTTGCCAGGAAAATTGAGGTCTGTCAAAGACTGTCAGATCTTGATGGTAGGAACAGATATTTGAAGAGAGGCTAATTTGCTTTGAACGGACAACTTGCAGTGTTCCCTTGACTTAGTTCATGTCAGGTGCAGTTTCAAAGTGATTCAAAAACAGATTTTTTTCTTTTTTCTTTTTTTTTTTTTTGAAGAAGAGACTTCACAAGTCACTTTACACCTGTAAAGTTAGTTTTTGTATGCCTTCTGAGAAACACACTGAGATAGACGTGTTGTTAAACTCAGTGGCTTACAATACAGTACTAGGTTGAGAAGTGGTAGGGTTTTTTTAGTTAGAAAAAAAGTTAAAATATGTTTGCAAGCATTTATTGATTTTTGTTTGGTTTGTGTTGTTTCCCCTCTCCCCTCTGGATTACAAATTTGAATGGAAGGTGACACAAATTCAAAATATAGATGTTAGGATGAGCTCTGGATTTTGTGGTAGCCATACCCTGCTTGACATCTGTGATATTTTAGTATCACAGCTACCACAATAATAATATTTGAAATTAAAGCCACAAATGTAAGAGTGTAGAAGCTATATTGTTGCAGGTTCGAGGTTTTACCAGCTTCTGCTTTAGCGAGGGATTCTGTGTAGAGAAAAAATAAAGTTAGAACTGTGGGTATAGTTACAATACAAGGCCTTTAAAACAACTTTTTCCATGTTTTGCAGTCTGTTCTACATTGTTTCTCGATAATCATAGAGACCACTGTAGAGGAGACTGCAAATGGTGTTAAAGAGTGGGGCAGGTTGAGGCACTAAAGTTGTCTTATGAAAGGCTTTGTAGCTCTAATTTAAAAGCATGGTACTTTCTGATTTCTGCTCCAGTGCCTGTCCTCTTTGTATTTTTGTTCTAACAGGCAACACATCCAGTGTCAGGATTTAACCTAGGGTGGCATAAGTTATCTGTGCTTGTCATCTGGCATGGCTTTTCTGTCATACAAACAAATAAAACTGAGTCAATTTCAGTGGACTGTTAGAAAGTTTGTAACAAAGCCTGGCTATGATTTGGAATGTTCTCTTCAAATAGTCTGTGGCTCTGAGAAATGAGCCCTCATCCCTATGTATGCCTCAAAAAAAGAGTCACATTTGAAATCTTATCATTCCTAGCTTTTGCTGAAGGCATCATCAGATCCTGCATGTGCTACTTTTGTAACTAGGAGTGCTGGTGCTTCTGTTTCAAAGAGCACCCCTTGATGCAGAGGATCATCGGTGTGTCAGTTTGAAAAGTGTTTCTGTTATCACCCAAAACACAAACTTTGTGGAACCTATTGCTCTGATGCCATGTTAGTTTTGAACTGGTGTAATTCACTTGTTAGTGGAGTGAAAGTAATGGATTTACTCCAAGGAAGAGCTTAATTAGGTTCTTAATTTCGTGCATTCCGCTTACCTGAGTGAGCAGCAGCCCTGAGATCTCTTTTCAGGCGGATGGGACCTACTACGGTGTGAGTTTTCCACGTGTATGAAGAAATAGCTCTTTTTTGCCTGGAGACACACCCTTGAGTACAGCGGGTGGTTGTGTTTTTGTTGTCACAAATTAAAATATCGCACTGGAGATAAACTGATGGAGAGCTCCGCAGGAACCTGAAGGCATTAAATTTGAATCTTCCGTAGTGGTCGAGTGCTGGGTAGGTTACCACGGTGTCATCTTTACTGCAGCTGCAACAGAATTTACGGGGCTGTTCAAATAGTCTATGTACAATAAATATTCTTGCTCGCTACCGGTGACTGCATCTACAGCATTTAACTAGGGTGTTATTTTTACACATGGGCATACAATGATATGCTGCTTTCCTTCTCCTCGGTGCAACATGGTGCTTGTTTTTCCTAGCTTTGTTTATTCAATGCCTTTAAATTTCTATGAAATGTAGCTTCTTGTCACAGACTGCTAAAGAAGATGTGTGGAAGAGAGGCAAAAATAGAACAACTATGGACGACATCTAGATTATATTTTCTCACATATTAGGAGATGGCGATAAAATTAATTTACTCTTACCCACTTCTGATTAAGTCATATGTTACTGATCCAAAATCAGGGTCTGGAGAGGCTGTGCAGGTATCAACAAACACCAGGAGATTTGGGTCAGTGGAATGAAGACTGACTTCAGCATAAAGAGTTTGGTTCAAGTCCACATAATACGGGGCCTCATGTACAGGGTTGGAGAATAAATCTGAATCGTAGAACGACATGCTAACATTGTATCTCCCCACAGAGGTTATGTTCTGGATTACGTTATTTTTTGTTATGTAAATGACCTCTAAGGTTGAATTGTTTTCCATTTTGCATTTTGCAATAATCTGTACACTCTTTTGACGGGTGATAATGTTCCCACTTGCAGAGAGAGACACGACGTTGGTGTAAGTGATGCTCTGACCTTCATCCTGTGAAAGGAATCGGATTGAAATGCTTGGTTGTGGTTATAGGAGCAGTGCGGTTAAAAGCAGTTGTACTAAAGTTACAAAGCCACTCGGCTTATTGGAGGCTGAAGGTTTTTCTGAGATGTGAAACAGGTTACAACCAAACAACAATTACCAACTTTCCTTCTCTCTTTTCAAAGCACTGAGCCAACCCGTGCAGCCAGAAGGTTGAAGAATACTGCACAGTTTGGAAAGTAACAAAGCTACACTTCAGTCCTCTTATTGAAAGAATGCTGTGAACTAGCTCTTGGGAATCTTCACATCTTGGGGTTTTGCCCTTTCTTGGTGACTCCAGGATAAGTGCCAGCCATATCACTTGAAGAGAATGTTTAAGTTGAGCCCCTAACAGTGTGCTACTTCTGGTAACCTGGGCTGGAGAGGGAACAAAATGTTCAGGATTAACTTGTGTTATTCTTCTCTTGGACTTTATTCGAAAGACTCATCGATCGCCAGATTCTTGAGAAAAATGTTCTTTCTACTTCAAGACTGGAAACGTGATGAAATTAAATCTGGTGTTGGCTTATTCACATGCTATTCATAAACTGCTTTTGCAAGCTCTTGTCATACATAAGCTGTTGTTGGCTTATTCACAAAACTTTTTCTCCCCTTTACCTTTTTAACTGTTCCACATCTGCCTAACGGGAAGGAAAAGATCACTGAATCTTTTACAGCTGGAGTACAAGATGCATCATTCAGCTGTAGGTGAGTTTCATTATAACCAAGGGAGGCCAGGTAAGACTTGCTCAGAACAATTTTCATGCTGTATGAAGTGCACGTAAGGAATGCTGCCATTGAAAGAGAGATAAAAGAAAACAAACACAAGACACAGAAAACACATTATCACAAACAGCTGTGTTAATTTCTCACATGATCTAGGTCCTTGAACATATGCAAGGTTCTTGGTTTGTCTGGGTCTGTAAAGGCTTATGGGTGTTTAAGGCCACACAGAAGTCAGGACAAAATTTCAAGCAAAACCATGTAAAATGCTGAAAACTTAATTTTCAACCCAGTAGCACAGGATGAATTGCAGCCTTTATATAAAAGGAAAAGGAATCAAAGTACTGGTGCAGAAGGGTGGGTAAGGAAATTGATTTGTGGCAGACATTGAGGCTTTCGAGACTCGTTTGCCACCTCAGCTGATGAGAAGGCGGGCCTGTAACATCCCCTTAATGTTGTAAGGGAAGAATCACATGTAAGAATAAGAAACAGCATCCTGTTCACAGAGCAAGTACTCACCTTCAGGCTCCACAGGACCTGGTAGCGGAACACTGGTGTACCGAGCAGAAAATCCTCGGTAGGAGTTGGCGTAGTCTGTGGACAACGCAACTGTCATAACATTTGAAGAAGACTCAAATGTGGGCTGAACGCGGCCACATACTTTTCCTATTAAGCTGTTGTTAGTGGTGAGGCCATCATAGATTGCTGTGAAGTCAAACTGGCAGTTTTGGTCTAGCTCCAGGCTGCAGACAGAGAAAAAATAATTACAGGGAAATCTAAGCATAGAGATCGTTGCTTGTACTGGATAGAGGATCCACTGCAGATAAAATGTCTTATGAATTCCATTGAAATAACATATATTTTTCTATAGTTCTCAACAGAGGCTGAACCAGCTATGCTTGTGTAATTCTGATACTGTATTTATTGCTACTTATTTGCTAAGATTAACACATCTTCAGGTATGTATTTTATATATACTTTTATATATATATAAAAAATAATCCTATATCTTAAAATAAAGAGTTTTTAAATTATAGGTTTGACTTATGCGGGTCTCTTAAACCTCTTGGGTGTGTCACCAGAGGAAGGCTGCATCAGAATTCACCTCTGTCCTTGCTGTCCTTGATGTGAAGCACCAGCTGTATTGTGATGGGTGGGCACCGCCTGAATCAGCACATGGACCCTGCCCGGGACTGATGAGAACATGCACCACACTCTGCAGAGTTCATCAGCTCAGAGGGCACTGGTCAAGGTAACGATTTCCTAGAGAATCCTGTACATTTTGCACTGAATTCTTACGTGGTATTCTGCAGCCTGAGTAGCTCAGGAAATGTTTTTGAAGTAACCACCCTTTGAATTCCCCTGGTCTTGAGACTTTTCCTTTCACAGTGTCAGCTGATGCAGGGAAAGCCAAAAAAGGGCTACCAGCCCACTGCGTGGGGAAGTCCAACCCTGATCAAGCCCAGTATGGGTCAGGAAAGTCCACGCTAGTGCGATGCCCTTAGGCCAGTGCATCTGTTAACATTTATGTGTGGAGGTACTTAAACCAGTGATTCTTTCCCCAACAGCCAGCAGTACTGAGGAGGATGTGCTTTGGGCGATATTTGCTTTGTTCTTCTTTTGACCCTCACTTCTAAATTGTAATTGCAGTGCGTATGGTGGCTTTCAACATGTTCCTTACGTAGCAAATGTTTTAGTTATACTGATGGATTTAAATTCAGATCATTCAGATGGCTAATTGCCTGACAGGCTTTCTGTGTTTCACTCTCTGGCACTGCAGTAGCTATAGGGTAATGTATAGTGACGTGAAACACATTGCAGTTATGAATCAACAAAGCACGTTTGTTTCAAAAGTGTATCAACATTCTAAAAGTTTGAAAGCGTTTCTTCTTCCTGTGTTTAAAGTAATGCCTTTAAAGAGAAGGGGAAAAAAGAGTAATAGAGCATTAGGACATTTACTCACAAAAAGTCTTGGAACTGTAGCTCTATCTTCGTGTTTTTTGGTGTTTGTATGTGCCAGACACAGTATGTAAATTCAGGGTAAGATGCTGGGTAGTTGGGGCTGGTAAATGTCCCATTGGGACCAGTCAGTTGTCCCCCACAATTTTCAGTTTCTGAAGAGTAGATATATCAGCAACATAATAGTAAATATAGCGAGCAATCATAATAGTAAAAAAGATTAAAGATCTAAAGCTATGTAATTAGCAGGATAGTTTCTTTAGGATTCCATTCCTTATGAAATTATTAAAGGCACTAAATGTTAAACTTGCATGGAGAATTTCAGATCAGATGGACATTACAAAATGAAGCTTGTTGTCAGTCGGGCATATCTGTGAGGCACAGTGTAATGACATCTGGGGTGGCTGTCTATGAGCTTTGTTACTGTGAGCAACTGAGTTATATCTGCATTTTGGGTAAATTAGGTGTTGTCTTGAAAAACTGGCATTGACGATTCCACACCAACCCAAAAAACCCACCTGAGAACCTTTATATTAGAGAAATCTATGAGGTCTTGGTCATCATCTGTGCAAAATCTTCAAGTTTGAGAGGGATTTAATTGATAGACAAAGACAAAATAAAATCAAGTCAATGGAAACCTCAGAAAGGCAAATGTAGGCTGGAAATAGGGCATGGTTTTTCAGCAGCAAAGCTAAACACTGGAGCACCATAAACTAACATGTGGTAACTACTCTGTTAAACTGGAGCTTTTAAGAGCTGGAATAAGCAGAAACAAAGGAACTGCTTTCAAGCTAAGACTGATTTTGTCCAAGTTATTCTTACCTTGGCTACTCCTGTTAAACTGAAGCTTTTAAGAGCTAGAATAAGCAGAAACAAAGGAACTGCTTGCAAGCTGAGACTGATTTTGTCCAAGTTATTCTTACCTTGCAAGGAAAAAAAGTAAAGAGCTTGCTGAATGAGAACCCTGACTGACTTTTACGGCCTGTACTTGGCAGGAATTCTGACTAGATGGTCATATTGTATTTCTGGCTAAATGCTACAAACTTTGCAAACCCAGTAAATTTAGTAGAAGTCTTTAAGTAAAAGTATAGTCCCGTCATGCCGCCTTTGCAATCGTTTCACTGATTTCTCCCTCCTCCCATTCTCTCAGGTCTGAACAACTGAATGAGACTAATTAAAGATTCTGCCACTAGTTTCTAATTGCAGTCCTAGAGTTTCCCTTGGTCGGAAAATTTCCTTAATGGTGCAATTCAAATAGTATTAAATGACTTACTTATTTCTGGTGAAAAGAAGTAATAGAAGACAAAGAAGTTTCTTGTGAAAGCCACGGAGTTTGTTGTTATGAGAAAGGTTAAACTGTCTGAAGAGGATTGAAGTACTGGGACTGCGTCAGTGTTGTTACATATTTGTCCAAGAAGAGGGGAATTAGTTGAGGGACCATCATATACTTTAATACTTTCTGTATCACAGCTTGAAGGAGCAAATCTGTTGAAAAAACACAGTGAGAACTCCCCAGGATATACCAGCTTGTTGGAGTCCATGATACAGATTCAATACTGAGGAGTATTTGGAGGCAATTTATTTTCTATGCTTTAGCATAATGGAATGAAACAGTACAAAAGCATTTAGAAGAAATACTTACCTGAAATAGGAGAAAATGGCCCTAACTGTTTGATTTGTATTCCTCTGAATTTGCCAGATGCAGCTTGCATTTGCATTTAGTTCAATCTTCAATGCTTTGTTGAGCTCATTAAGTGAAGCACCACAGCGAGGTACACCTGTTGAAGAACAGCAACAACAAAAACCAGCTTGCAAGGATTTCTTTCAAGTTTTCTCTTGAAATAGTAATTCATCCTCCACTACACAAAGACTCTGGGACAGTCTATCGTGGAACAAACATCCAAAATGCTGTACTATTTTTTTTTCATTTATATTACTGCAGTTTATGAAACCTGAAGAATCAAACAGTAAAAGAATATTAGAGAATACTTTATACCCTAATTTTCCTAGTCACAAAGAAAAGTGGAGTTAGGAGAACACATATCACAGATGAAACCAATGGCAAAACTGGAAATGCCGAGTGATACAGGATACAGCAGCTCTCTTCATCAAGGTTTGTCACCACAAACGCTTCAGACCTCCTGTCTTCCCCCTACACTGAGTTCCTAAAGATTCTTGAATGCAGTTCTGACGTACGCCCTTAACTTAAAAGCACTTGGGAACCTATGCTCAGGGAATCAAAAAGACTTTGATATTTGAAGGACTCTGCACAGGGTTGCTGTGTATTTACTCCACACAGTTCTAACCCTCTATGTCTGAAAGGGTGCTGCTAAACAGTAAAAGCTTCAGAAAATGGCAACAAAGATGATCAAAAGTTTAGAATAGCTTCCAGACAAGGGATAAATAAATGGATTGAAGCATTTCAGGTCAGAAAGGGGAGAGCTACGGGGGAAAGGAGGTGCTGCAGGTCTATGAATTCATGGAGGGGGTTAATAAGAGATATTCTTTTCTGATACAGTAACTAAATGACCTGGAATGAACCCAGTGAGATTTTGAAACCAAAGGGGACTGGGTCTTTGCACATGGATCTTTTCTGCAGGGTGATGTGAATGGTAAATTGAAACATAAACCAGACTAAATCCATGAAAGAAGCAGATTTTCATAATGATTAAACACAAAGATAGCATTCCATCTCTTTCAAAAGTCCCGAACCATATTTGCTGGTACTGGGGGAGTATTCTGGGGAAGCGTTACGGAGGCTTGCATCCGTATTTTTGCCGGAGCATCCTCTCTTGACTGTTTCTGGGTTCAGGATGCTGGGCCAGCTGGACTCCAACCCAGTTGTCCTATGAGAAAAACCACAAACTAACCATGGTTGACATCACTGACAGCTACTTAATAGGTTATGAAGTAGTTCAAGTACTGACCATTGTATAGTAGACTTCAGAAAAAAGTTTGTAATTCAGTTTCAGCATTCTGATCTTTCTATTTTAATATTAATCTAAAGACAATGGTCTAAACCAGCAGGACTTCCTACACAGCACGTGCAGTCCCAGATAAAAAGCTTAGGCTTTCTGATGAGCTCCAGAGGGGAAAAGAAGGATTTAGGAGAGATTGTTCTCATCACATATGAAACCTCCCAATTCTAAGAGCATCACAAGGTCAGCTTTGCCCCACTCTCCCCCTGCAACCCTCTGGAGTATTCTGTAGCCAGGCACCACTAGAGCAGCTCTGCAGCAGAACTTTATTCTCCCACGGTAGCTACCTACCATAAATCTGAAATAATTACTGATCTGAGCACAGAACAGTGATCCCAAATCGAGCAACAAACAACACTTTGTTGCTTCTGATGGAACAAAGGAAAAATGAACAAATCTCTTTCAAAGAACAACTGTTTCCCAGTTAAGTCGCTTGATTCATATTACTCCAATATAGCATTAATTTATAAATCTAAATTTTCATTCAGGGTAAAAATCTTTTCAGAATCAAGTTCTTAAGTTAAAAAATTGCCATAGGGAACCATATATTGATTTCTTTTTTGTTTATCTATGATTTTTAAGAGTTGCTATTGTGCAGGAGTGCATTAAAATCAGATGTACTTTTAGAGATATGTTTAACATCTTTTTTCCCTTCAATTGCCTATAAAATGTATATTGTTCAAAAATTAATAAAATTGCACAAATAACAAAAAGACTAGATTTCCATACCCAGGGATTCTACTGAGTTGTCTTCAGCGAGAGCCAGAGCAATGAAGAGAGGCAGGAGGAGGAACTGTCTCAGTGCCCACATTTTGATGCCACCTGGAGAGGTTAGGCTTTTCTAACTTTTATACCTCCTGCTGTTTCATAATCAGCTTGTATTACACGGTATCACGGAGGGAGGGCTTAATCTCGCAGTTACTGTTTCTTTTTAACAGATATAAATGAGAAAGGAACAGGTGTGCCCTGTTTTGTTTTGATTTTTTTTTAATTGTGTACTGTGTGGAGTAAGTTTAACTGTGATTTTGTCAGCTCTCGCAGGTTCATTTCTCAATTGATTTCATTGAGTGTCTGTTTGAGTGTGTTGACAACAGCAGGGAGGTT